CCTTTTCTTATCTGTTTTATGTGAGATAATTTACCCCATTCTACCTCTCCCTTTCTTCTTCTCCCAGTATATTCCTCTCTCACCACTTAATTTTATTCTCTAGGTATCACCCCTTCATCTTCAACTCACTCTGTGTCCTCTATCTATCTATATCTATATGTACATACATATAATTTTTTCCCTCCAACTACCCTAATACTGACAAAGGTCTCATGGGTTACAAATATCATCTTTCCATGCAGGAATGTAAACAGTTCAACAATCTTAATAAGTCTCTTATGATTTCTCTTTCCTGTTTACCTCTTCATGTTCCACTGGAGTCCTGTATTTGAAAGTCAAATTTTCTGTTTAGCTCTGGTCTTTTCATCAGGAATGCTTGAAAGTCCTCTATTTCACTGAATGACCATTTTTTCCCCTGAAGGATTATACTCAGTTTTGCTGGGTAACAGTGATCTTTCTACTGCACCACATTGCCTCTCCAGACCTATACTGCCAAATGCCTAAAAGACATTTTGACTTGGTTGTCCCACTGACATCTGAAAGTCAACTTGTTCAAAACTGAGTTTATTATCTTTCCCCAAACCTTCTCCCTTTGTGACTTCACCATTTCAGCCAGCAGTATACCATGCTGCTTATGTTTGACTGAAGCAAAAAGGGAAATTTTGTTGTTTTTTTTTGGTGAGGCAATAAGGGTTAAGTGACTTGCCCAGTCACACAGCTAAGAAGTGTCAAGTGTCAGGCTGGATTTGAACCCAGGTCCTCCTGACTCCAGAACCAGTGCTCTATCCACTGTGCCACCTAGCTACCTCAAAAATAAAATTTAATAGGATGAAAGTAGAATCTTGAACCTGGGTTTAAAAAACCACGACTGCACAAGTATAGGATGAGAACTGGCTAGACAAAAATGAATGAAAAAGACCCCAGTGGTTATAAGCTCAATACAAATAAATGTGAGTGCTGTCTTTGACTCTTCCTTTCCTCTCACCTTTCATATCCGATCAGTTGCCTAGTCCTGCTAATCCCGCAGTCTCTTCTAGTCTGGCCTTGCCTTTCTATTTTCACTGCTGTCACTCAAGCAAAGGCTCTTATTCCAGTCTGCCTGTATTATTAGTACAGTTTCTCAACAGAACACTCCTTTCCACCTTCAGAAGTCTGTCAAAAGAATAGATATAATCATAAGATTATAGTTTAGAATTGGAAGATACCTCAGAGGTCACCTTGTCCTACCCCATCAATTTACAAGTGAGAAAATGAGCCCAGAAATGCTAGGTGACTTATTCTCCATCTCAAATTTTTTGTGGTTTCCTCTCTAATAAAGTTCAAACTCCCTTAGTAATTAAAGCACTGCACAATCTGGTTCCAGTCTACCTTTTTAGCCTTATCTTATGTTATTTACCTCCATGTACTTTGTTTCAACCAAACTGGACTGTTTCTATTTCTGGAGCACATTCCTATACTGTGCCTATCCTCAAGCTCTTCTCAATGTCTGCGATATTCTCCCTCCTCAATTCCTACATAATTATCAATCAGTCAGTCAATAAACATTTATGAAGCATCTATTGTTTACCCAGCCACTGTGCTGAGCACTGCTCCTCTTCTCCATTGCTAATCCCCTCCCCAGCTCAATTTGCCTGCTCTTTTGATGTACTTGTCACATGTATAATTATTCATGAATGTGTCATAGCCACATTCCAAGTTATAAGCTCAATACAAAGAAAAGACTTTTTTTTTAAACTTTATTACTTCCCAGGACTAGCATCCTGTTTGGTGCACAGTAGGTATTTAATACATATTTGCTAGGCTGAAATCTTGTTTTTCATAGTAAACCCCAGTCAAATTTAATACACGCCATTGCTAGCATCCACAACCAAATCCTAGGGTTTTACTTAACTAGAAATCATTCTTCACAATAGACATAGAACCTTGACTCCCAAATTTGATGATTATTTGTCTCCTTTTGGCATCAGCCTAGTAGTAGTTTACAACTCCTGGAGATTCTAGTCTCACCCTCTTTCCAATAGCTCTAGGGTTTAAATACCATCTGTTCAGGGTTTCTCAAGTAATAACACATATGCCAGTTGGGAGGAAGCAGCAGCACATATTATAGAATTCACTGTTCCAAGGTGTTAGGGATCTTGTCATACCTTTTGCTGACAAGCCCAGTTGTGTCTAAATGGGTGACTGACACAAGGGTAGCTGGCCAATGCTGATACTAAGCTCTTGGCTTAGATGGAAAACTATCACCGGGCTTCTCCAAGACTGACTGATGATAATAACAGAGTTGCAGAGGTGGATAGGACCTCAAACCTTATCCAATCCACAAATCCTTGTTATGGTGTCCCAACAAGTATGACTTCATTTGAAGATCTCATGGTGTAGTATGGCTAGCGTGCTGGACTTGGAATCAGGAAAATCCGAGTTCAAATTCTACCTGACACTTACTAGTTGCATGATCCTAGGAAAGTCACTTTATCTCTTTGGGCCTCAGTTTCCTCACTTGTAAAATGAGAATATACTTAATGACCTGTATGATTCATTCCAGCTCTAAATCTTTGATTCTATGATTTCCAGTGACAAGGAGCTCACTATCCCCCAGGGCAGTCCATCCCATTTTTAAACAACTCCAATTGTCAGCAAGTTTTTTCCCCATGTACAGCCCAAATCTATGTTCTTGCAATTTCCACAGGATGGTACTATTTCTTCCCTCTGGGACAAGCAAAACAATTCTTTTTGTACTTTCAAGAACTTGAGGGCACATCAAGTCCCCACATTTCTTTTTTCCATTAAATATTCCCATTGAACTGATCACATGCTTGCTTTCCAGTTCCCTCACTCTTGTCCCTCTCTTCTGGATGCACTCTAGCTTAACACCTCTCCTAAAATGTGATCATTGGAATTGGGCACCATATCCCAAATGTGGTCTAAGGAGGACAGGCTATAAAGTGAACTTCTCTTGCTCAGGGCACTGCATTTTTATTAATGTAGTCTAGACACAATTACTTGTGTTGAGCTTATTAAAGCTACCAGGTCTTTTTCACATAGATTTTTGTTTAGCAAATTTCTTCATTCTGTACTTGTGCAATTGATTTTTTTAAAACCCAAGTTCAAGACCCCACTTTTATCCCATTCTTATCTTTTCACGAGTCCATCATTTCAGCTTGTCACTATTGATTCTGTCATCCAGTCATAGTGAATCAGCTGTCCCTCCCAAAGTCTTGTCATTTGCAAATTTGATAAGCATGTCATGTGTATTTCCATCCATGTCACTGGTAAAAATCTTGAACAAGGCAGAGGCAAAAATAGAACCTTGTGGCATTTCACTAGAGACCTCCCTTCTAATCAGCCTTATTGTACAATAATACAGTCCATGTCAATCTTGTTCACAAGGATACGGAAATACATTGTCAAATGTTTTTATGAAATCCAAGTAAATCATATCCACTGAATTCCCCTTACCTACTTGATTTGTAACTCTGTGATCAACAAAGGATATGAGTTTAGCTCTGTATTATTTGTTAATAAACCCATCACAGTGTTTAGATTACTCCTTACTTTCTATTCTGTTCACAAATCTATTCTAAAATTTGGCCAGATGGCACTATCAAGGTAACTGATCTATAATCTGATGTATCCACTGTCTTTCCTTTTGAAAAAAAAATTGGAATATATACCCATTTCCAGTTTTATGGCATGTTTGGTGCATCAGTCTTCCAAAGATCACTTATAGTGGCTCAGCAACCACTTCCACAAATTGTAATTGTCAAAGTATTGTGCATGACCTTTGAGAACTAAGTGATTTAACCCTATAGCGATACTTAAAAGAAACATAGGATTCTTTAAAACAAAAATGCTCCTAGGAAACATTGGAGATTTAGAACAAATTATTTTGGTTATGGAACCAAAAAATACTAGAATTATACCTTTCAAAGATGCTTGGGGAAAAAAGGGACATCTTTGCATCTTCACCAATTCTAAGTTTAAAGGTCTTTCTCTTGACATGCCTCTTTGGCCAGTACTGTCCAGTGCCAGTACCTCCAATATGTTCCAAAGGTTTTATTTGTTTCTCTTTTCATATCCTTTGACTTATCTTTCAGGGAATGGCCCATTAACATTTTTTTGGTAGCAATTCTCTATATACCTTAGATATCCTTGATTTGAGAAATATGCTCTAAGATTTTCTTCCCCAGTTCAGTTTACCTTCTAATTCTAGTCATATCAGTTTTGTTTTTGCATAAACCTTTGTTTTATGTCATGAAAATTGTCCATTTTATTTTCTGTCACTCTCACTGTCCCTTGTAAGGTCAAAACCTTTTCCTCTATCCATAGCTGCATGATAAAAGGTATATTTTCCCTTGATCCTCTAAACTGTGTACTTTGTGACCTTTTATTTCTATGTCATGTATCTATTTAGCTTACTGTTGTGTATGTCAGCTGTTGGTTTAAACCCTAATTTCTGCCAGGCTACTTTTCAGTTTTCTCAGAACATTTTATGGAATGGAGAATCCTTACCCTAGTAGTTAGGATCTTGTTGGTTTTTTAACATTATGCCATTACAGTATGCTTATTTGCTTTTCTTTCTTGTGTACCTAATCTGTTCCCTTGATTGACTTTACTATTTTTTTTTTAAACTGTATGAAATAGTTTTGATGTTCTGTAGTATAGTTTGAGATTTTGTACTACTTAGGCTCCCTTCCTTCTCATTTTTTCCATCATTTTCCTTAAGATTTTTGATTTTTTGTTCTTCACATTTTTAAACTTTTTCCCTAGCTTTAAAAAGCAACCCTTTGCCTATTTGCTTTATGTATTATTTGTGACAAATATTTAAGTGCAATGGTTGGTTTTGTTCTGCCCCTAAAAAGTCTCTACTACTTGTATCCTGTCATCTTGTAGATATATTTTAAAGGAATAGAAACTAATTTTTAATAATTACAGTAGCCCATCTGAAAAATAAGTAGAAATATAAATTAATCCCTTAAGAACAAAACAAAACAGAATGCAGCTAAATAGAAATATCATTTAATTATCTGTTGTTTGGGGTTATATGCCCCACCATTGCTCTCCATTAGCCTGGAAATCAGAATTGATTACAGTGACATATAGAAACCCTTTCCCTCATAACTCTCCCTCTCTCTTCCAGTAAAGAGAATTCTGTGCCATGAACAATGACGCACCAGAAAAAAAAATTCTAAACTTAGTAACAAAAGAGTCCAATTGGCCAGGTGCTCTAAGTCTGTGATCTGCTTGATAAATTGTATTTAATGCTTCCCTGGAAATTCAAATGGTTTACCAACCCAACCCAACTTCAAGGGATCTCTTCTCACCATACTCAAAACACTGTAAGATAGTCTTGAATATTTGGTTGACCCAAATGTCAAAAACCCCCAAACCCCAAATTGCTTCCCTTTTTTAGGAGGCTATCACATTACTTATTTCATTCCAATAAGTAGGTGTGATTTGTTATGTTCAAATAAGCCAAAATACGTGAGGATGTGACTCTTAATACTTGCTGCATTCCAAAGGGCAGAGAGGGTTTTCAGTTTGGTCAAGAGATGCTTTCAGGTCTCATTAGGCTTAGCATAGGACTTAATGTTCATTAATCCGAAGCGGATTTTTTTAAACATTCACTCACATCACCTATGCCTTACTATCTATGTATATGTATGTATTTTTGTGTACTATTTCATCAAAAGTGACTGGAGTTAAAGTTACGTCTGTCTCATGTGTTTAAGTTTCACATTTTATTGTCCAAAAACTCTGGCTAGTGTTTGGCCACAAAATTTGTCCATGAAGCCCATTCTGAAATCTCATTTTCATCTAGCATGTTACATTGCCAAAATTAGCTGGAATCTTGGGGCATGAAATTCACACAGTTCTGATTCAGTGACCCACTGTTTATGTCATAAAGCCTGATCTCCTTAGCCTGTCATGAATAACCCTCTATGATCTAACGTCAAATGACATTTCCAAGCTCAGCTTTCACTACTCTCTCCTTCACTATTCTACTCTAAAATGGTCTATTAATGGAGAAGCAACTTGTGGTAAGGAAGCCAGATGTTCTACATTCTACCCTTCCTACTTACTAGGAGTACATCCATGGACAAGTCACTTAAAGTTCTCTGAGCCTCAATATCCCTGTGGATAAAATGGAGTTACAGTACCTACAGAATCTACCTCTTAGGTTGTGGGGGTGTATCAAATGAGATAATCGATGTAATAATAATAGCTAGCATTTATATAGCACCTACTATGTGCCATAAACTGTGCTAAGTGCTTTAGAGGTATCTCATTTGAGCCTCACAACAATTCTGGGAGGTAAACGGATTATCCCCATTTTACAGTTGAGGAAACTGAGGCAAACAGAGGTTAAGTGACTTGCCAAGTAAGCTAGTAAGTGTCTGAGGCTGGATTTGATGTAAAGCGCTATATAGGTGGCAGGTATTATTGCCTTGCGATTTCCTGTTACTGATTGCCCTTTCTCTACTCCATCTTTCCAAAATGGAGCCCTTTGAGGTCCAAGCTTAAATTCCACATTTTCTACAAAACCTCCCCTGCTTTCCTGTACTGTCTGGTACCTGGGAAGGGCTCACTGGAGACTCAGAGCCAGAACAAAAGGCAGTACTACAAGCCCCTTTGCCCTTAGCTGGCAGAATGATGGTGGAAGAGGCATTGAGGGAGCACTACTCAACTGTGCATTAACACAGCTGAGCATTGCAGTTGAGGTTGAGCTGGGTGGGAGGGAGAAGAGGCTGGTGAGCATTTGTAGAGGGAGAAGAGAAGCTGGGCACAGAACAAAGCAGAACAGAATGGGCAGTGGAAGTCACGCTGAGTTGGAAAAAACAGCAGGTAAGCAGTTAGCAGGTGAACACAGTGTGCCAAGGTGTGCTGAAGTGTTCTGAAGGGCTGAGAACTTGTTCCCGGGCAGTGAGAAGACAATGAGATTTTACAGCTGGCTCAATGTATCACAGGGCGAGAGCTAGAAGGGACTGAAGAGGCCACCTAGCCTTAAACCCCTCATTTTACAGACTAGGAAACTAGGGCTATGGGAGAATAAACAACTTCATGCAAGGTCATGCAAGTAATTTAAGAAGTAGGATTTGTACCAAGGTCCTTTGACTCTAGAAACCCTGTCCTTTCCACTGCACTGTTGCCTTGAGGTCAAGGTTGGGGAGGCCCCTCAAGGTCCCAATGAAATGACTGTGTCCTCTTCAGGGGTGGGACCAGGAGCAAGGCCTTTGTCCTGGGCCCTAACACCAATCTAGGCAGACTTGATCTTTCTGTCCTCTAAATCCTTACAACACTAAATATATCCTTCTTGGGGTAGGGAGCACTTACTGCCTTGTAACTTCTGTTTCATAATATTACTTTCCCATTTAGGCCATAAGAAGCCACAGCACATTACCTGTTTCTGCTAAGTGATTGTATCCTTCATTGCTTTCTTTTTCCCCTACTCCACCATGCCTAGAATAGTGCCTTGCACAAGAGGGGTAGGGGGAGGGAGGGTGGACAATAAATATCTATGGAATGAATGAGTTAATTTTTATTTTATAGAGACTTTATACAAATATTTTTCCTGATATCTTAATTATATGTAATGTTATTTTGGACATAAAAGAAAAATCTATACAGAAAAGAAATATTGGCCATATTACATCTTATTCTGTGGAAGGGCTTTTACTCTAGTTATACCCTTTGTGTTGAATGACTGTCATTAAGAACCTGGCATGGGAATGAAAGGAAACAAAATAGAAAAAAAAATCCAGGGTATTTGAAGCAGTCTGCCAATGTCTCTGGGCTGCTACTATCACGTTTCATAACATGGTAATCCATCTCCAGGCTAGAAAAATCAATTAAGGTTGCCAGCTGATGAGTTTTCTCAGGAAATATGGGATTTCACCTTGGACAGCAGTATTTCATTCTTGCGGCATTCCTGATGAGAAAGTGCAATGAGAAATTAATTAGAACAGCTCACATTTATATGATGCTACATGGTTTACAAATGACTTCTCTCACAACTACCTCATGGAGGTAGATGAGGATACACCAGTCTTTTCTTCCACGAACAAATCTTAACGGACCTGAGCTATTCCCCTCCACTCCCTTCCTCCCACCTGTGGAGATCTGAACAAAGAGAAAATGAAAATCTCATAGAACTAACCTGGAAGCTAAACTTTATATAATACATATGGACCTTCGTTGCTCAAGCCACTGACGTACTTTCTTAAACATGGTGAATCATTTTGTAATCTTGTGTCTCCTGTCCTCTCTCATACTGCCAAACCATGCCATTTACATCCTCCAGACTCTCATCTCTGTTCATCTCTAATACTCCCTAGATAAGGACAGTTCAGTTGCCCCAGTATTCTTTCTACAGTGGTCCATAGCTGCTATTTTTATATTCTTGTCTCAATAAGCATGACTTTTAATTTTTGTATTCTGACCTCCATCACTAAAATGGACAGGTCCCACAAGCACCCTATCCTCCTTCCCCTAGTTCCTTGATGGTATGTTGGCCTATGTCTCTCCATTAGACTAGAATAGGGATTTGTAGCCTTTTTTGTGTGTTATGGACCCCCACATTGACCCCCCACGACAGTATGGTGAAGCCTATGGATCCCCTCTCATGACAATATTTTAAAATATTTGAAGAAAACACAAAATTTCATTTAGAGATTAGTGGAAATAATGTAATTTTTTTTCTCTCTCAAGTGCAAGGGACCCTTGAAATCTGTCCATAGACTCCCTGGGGGTCCTGTAAATCCCAGGTCAAGAATTTTGGGTTAGAAGTTCACTAATAGTAGATGCTGTAGCTTCCATATATCCTCCACAGTGCTTAGAATCTCAGAATTGAAAGGCTATCTAATTCAAAACAACTGATTATTTAATTGACAAATGGTTATCCAGGGATAAGAGTCTCACTGCCTCATAAGGTAGTCCATTACACAGTTCTGAACAGATCTTTAGGAAATTTTTTCCTTAAACATGCTATAACTTTGCAACTTCTCCCCATGGTTCCTGATTCTACTCTCCAGAGTCAAGTAAAACAAGTCTAATTGGAAAGAGTTTACCATATCTAGCCAGCCCCGAACCCCACCATCTTTCTGCCATGCCACACAATGTGCATGTTCTTCTTTTCCCTCCCACTGCTTGCTCTAGAACAGCCATCAAATCAACACTACCATTCTTAGAAAGGACCTGTCAATTAGCATGATTCCACTTAGCATCCCTGTGATTCTCCAGATTCTCCCTGGACACTACTTCTTCTGTTAGATTGTAAGCTCCTTGAGGACAGGAACTGTCTTTCTTTTGGTATTTTTATCTCCTCCAAATTAGCACTATTCTTGTTACATTGTATACATGCTAATTTAATTCATTCATCTTTCAGGTGATTTGCCTTCAAATAATGAAGACAGTGATCATGTCTTCCCTCTCTCCATCCTCTCCACAGGTCTTTTCTTGAGGCTAAACATCACTGGTTCCTTTAACTGATTCTTGGTGCACAAAGTTTGGAGATCATTCCCTTCTTCTGTGTGTGCTCTAGTTTGCCAATGTCCTCCTAAAACATACTGTTTAGAACAGCACCCAATGCTCCGGATGTAGTCTTATCAGGGTAGAGTTTAGCGGGACTCCATCCTCCTTCTGGATACTGAAAAGTAGGCTAAGAGCATATTTAATTTTGGGGTAGCCAAATCACACCACAGGTCTTTTTCACACACACTGACTCATGTCTGATCGCATCTACACAAAGCTGTATTTGAACAGATGGGTTCTTGAACCCAAATGGAGGGCACTGATCTCTAATCAATGACATTTTATTAGATCTAGCTTATCTTTCCATATTGGCCACTAAGTTAATATCCCTAATTAATACTGAATGTCTGTTCTGAGGCTACTGTCTTATCTTCATTGAACTGCCTCAAAATGTCTGGTGTTCTCTTTATGTTTAGGCACAAGATCAAGTCTCCCAAATTCCTTTAGTGTTTACTATCTGTTTTCCTGTGCAATTCTCAAGCCTTCCTTATCTCTTTACAGATATTCTGCCCATTCTACCTGGGCATCCTGAAGTACTCTCCTTTTCTTAATTGGGTAAATATGCTTTCCAGAGTCTTCTTGGTGTTTATCTTGTGCTTTTAGGTTAAACCCTCTGCTAGTCTCTTCCTTATCCTGGCCTGACAAGCCAAGGTCAGGGCAAAAAAGGTTCGCTGTTGTCAGTCTGGAAAGAGAGAAGGCTGAGATGAGGCAGGAACACAGAATAAATATCATGAGAGAGAGAACAAGGAACAAAGACCTCTTCACTACACTCCAGAATATGACAAAGGGCTCCATGCCCTACTACTTGAAGTTTAAAGGCTGTAGTTCTAAGACAAATAAAATGGAGTTCCACTTAACATGGTGGGTAGCAACTCGTTACTCCAAGAAAGAGTATAGGCTACAGAGATAAAATAGCTTTGAGAGGAATTCTGGTAAATAAATGAGTGACAGACTCATAATTAAATACAAAGAAAAACTATGGTCATGACCCCGTGAGGACACCAAAGAGAATCACTAGGACTGTCTATGACTTGGGTAGCTCACAAATGAAAACTGAGGCCTATAAAGAACCTGGGGCCAGCCCAAGGAAGTATGGTTGGAGTTTATGATATCACACAGCACAGAGGTGCAGATCCTGTTTCTGCATCTACAAGGGAAAAGCACTGCATCTGGAGTCGAGAACACTGAGTTGGAGGCCCAACTTTGCTACTCATTATCATCCATCAAATCATAGGACTGTTTTAAGGAGAAAACAGAAAGTGCTAGGTAACCCCCTTCAAAAAATGTAATAAAAACGACGGCTCTTCTTTTTAGTATTATTCTCCTGGGTCCCAGAACACTGGTCCCAGGCTCTTGATTGCTGGTTCTGAGATGAAAGGCCCTTTCCCCCCCTCATTTCTTTCAAGGCCTGCCAACATGTGATCATTTTTCCTCTTCCCTTGAGAACTCTGGGCTTTATGAACTTCAGTGAACAGGGCATCTTTGCTTCCACACTTGTTCCCCATGGCTGTCTACAAAGATTTCAGCTTTTCAAAGTGTAAGTGAAGAAGCTTATTAGAAGAGAGTTAATGTGCTCAGCTAATAAGACCCCAGGCTGGCAGAGTCTAGCACCAGAATAAGGATGCCTTCCCCTAAGGCTCCAGGGATCCACTTAGCGAAAAATTCTCTTAAAGCCTTGCATTTTCTGAATCAAAAGGCCCTCTAAACCAATTTCATATTCTTCCTTGAGCTCCTCTCCTTACATTTCCTATTACTCTAGGGTCTTTTTTCTTTCTTTCAGCAGTCATTGTAACCGGCATCTCAGAAATATCCACAGAAGTTTGGGGGACAGAGTCAAATCAGTAACTGTGATTGTCATATTTTAAGAAGTAAATGAACAATGGAGGCTCCCAACAGACTATCTGTGCATGATGACATAGGGTCTTATTTCTACATCTGCTCAGTTAAATACAGGACCTATGAGATCATATGTCAATTATGACAGAGTAAAATGCATCTTGCCTCTGAAAAGCCTAGCCAGATTACTCCTGCCTATGGCTAGCTCTCCCTCCTCTGAGCTCAGAGGAATTACTGTCTTGTTAGTACCATTCATCATATAGCACTTCTTATATAATCTTAAAATTTTGGTATTATTGAACTTTTTACCCACTAACACTAACTCCACAATGGCTGGGATACTACCATTTCTTTGTATTCTCATAGGGCTGGTCTCTAGCCTTAAAGTAGCTAGCCACTCTATCGATATTTGTTGATTGACAATTCTCTCTCTCTCCCCTTTCTTCCCTCCCTCTTTCCCCCTCCTTCTACCCCTTCCCTTCTTCTTTCTCCCTAGCCCACCCCACTAAGAAAAGTGGTTTTACTCTAACCTACTCTTTTTTTCTGACCTGGGATGGTAAGTCCCTCTTTAGAAGGGGGGCTCACCATATTGACGCCAACTTATTATGGAGATGTGAATAGTTATAGACCTACTGTAGCTCAGAACTTCCAAACTCAAGTGATACACCAGCCATAGCCTCCCCCAATAGCAGGATTTATAGCTGTGTGCTACCATACCCAGATCTTTTTCGTTCCCACTTCATAATTTTTACTGGTTAGTGAAGATGAAGAAGTGTAAAATACCCTATTTGTGCCTAACTACTATTCATATTTCTCCCAATTTTTTTTGGGGGGGTGAGGCAAATGGGGCTAAGTGACTTGCCCAGGGTCACACTGCTAGTGAGTGCTATGTGTCTGAGGCCAGATTTGAACTCAGGTCCTCCTGACTCCAGGGCTGGTGCTCTATCCACTGCACCACCTAGCTGCCCCTTCCCCAAATATTTTCAATCAATCCTTCAGAAGACTGTGCTCTAGCAGTTCCAGAAATGCTATGGATTCACCCATACACAATGGGAACCAAAACTGGAGCCTTTGGGTGAGGTTAGTCTAAAAAAGTAGGCATGAACTGACTGGGAGTCTGTACCTTCCTCATGGCACCAGGAAACTGAGGAGCAAAAAGCTCTCACTGTGTGAACCTTAATATTGTCTGTCCTGCCTTGACTAAGAAAGGCAAGGTGTCCCTTCATTAAGCTTGTCTAGCAAGAGAAATCCTTTCTAAGTCTAGTGAAAATGGCTGTGGTAAGGCCTACTTTCTGAGGAGGATGTTTGTTCTAATCTTCAAGAGAAGTTTCTGTTAAGAACACAGTAGAAAAGAGTACAAATTTCATGGTTTTGGTGAATATCATCTATAA